CGCCGCACCATCTCGGGGGACCTGACGGCTGAGGAGGAGCTGGAGAGGGCCATGGTGGAGGCCGCGATGGAGGAAGGGATCTTCCGGGTGAGCGAGGCGGTGGCCCTTGGTGTGTGGGCTCCAGGACAGAGCCTGGGAGCCCCGCCACGCCCTCAGGGCTGAGGACGCCCGCTGCCCCGCTGCCCACGGCTCCCGGCATGCCCACCCAGTGACCCTCCTACTTGGGTGCCCTGTCCCTCCCCCCGTCCCCTCCCAACCTCCTCCTCCTCCCCCTCCCGAGCCCGAGGCAGCTCCACCCATCAGATACCCACCCACCTCGCTGGAGGGTCTCTGAGGACCACCTTGCTGAAGCTTCTTGGGTTATTCATAGGAAGGGGGGCCCAGAGAGACCCTCTGAGATGTCCAGTGCCGTTCTCCAAGTGACTTTCGGAGGCGGGACTAGAGCCCTTCCTCCAGACGCCCGGCTCCAGGCTTCCCACTCCCCACACTCCTGTCTGAATATCTGGTACCCTACAGTTCTTAGGGGTGTCTAGTCTATTCCCCCAAACTGAGGACACCCTGAGGGCACCGGTCCCTCCTGTGACCTCAGGCTGGCCTGCTCCCCTCTGGCCTGCGTCCGGGCGCTGGTCCCTCCGCGCTCCCAGCCCCGGTCCCTGCTCTCAGTCCCTCCCCTCTCCTCCTCACCCCAGAGGACCGGCGGCCTGTTTGGCCAGGTGGACAGCTTCCTGGAAAGGACCAACTCGTTGGCCCCGCACATGGCCAACCAGAGACCCCTCCAGTTCACTGAAATTGAGATGGAGGAGATGGAATCGCCCGTCTTCCTGGAGGACTTCCCTCAACATCCGAGCACCCACCCCCTTGCTCGCGCCAACACTAACAATGCCAACGCCAATGTTGCCAGTGGCAACAGCAACCATGGCAACAGCCAGGCATTTCCCAGGTAGTGGCAGCAGCCAGCAGCCCAGGATGTAGGGGCTGGGGTGGGGCCAGGTAGACATGGCTGGTGGGCTCCGGGCTTTTGAGGGGCACTTTCTGGGGTCCAGCCTTTGCCATGCTGCGAGAGACTGGCCTGGGCGGCAGAGACGCGTGTGGCCAGCAGGGGGCAGCCTCGGGTCGGCCTCAGTCAGCACCTAGTGGCTTTTTCCATGGTCTTGGCTGGTCCAGAATAGGACCCGCTAGGTTAGGAGAGGCACATCCTATGAAAACCTGATCAGTTAAGGTTCTGTTGTTGGATCTGGGCTCCGGTGGTTCCTCTGTTGCCAGCCCCGGGCTTCGGACTGGATATAACCAGGGATCGAGGGATGAGCAGAGAGGGCCTTGGCCCTCCACGCAGACCTTCTGTTCTAGACCTGAGGCCCAGGGCTGGGGTGTGCTTGGCCTGGAGAGTCTGGGTTCCTCACCCTCCGTAATGGGTACGACAGGGCAGAGGTCAGGGGAAATGCCACTTCCCAGGCCAGGCTGCTTGCACCCCGTTCCAGCCAGAGAGCCCCTGAATTAAGTCCACACACCTAGGAGGGCGCCTGCACTCCCACGCCTGCAGGGTCAGTGTGGTGTGGGGCACTACGGACGTGCAGATCCGGGCCTGTGCCCAGACCGTCGCAGTCTGGTCGGGGCGTGTGCCATGGGGTGCAACTGTGACCAAATGACCTCAGAGAGTACTTCTTGAGAAGACAGAGGGCCTGGGACCCAACTAGCTAGGGACACTGAGGGAGCTTCCAAAACCGAGGACTCGGGAGTCAAGGCCACTCCACAGCAGCAGGCCCAGGCCCAAGGGGAGGCTCTGGGGCCCAGGAGGGCCGGGATGGGGCAGCCAGCAGCCTGCGGCTCACTGGCCCCGCTTCTGTTTCAGCCTCCACTATGAAGGGGAGCTTGCACAGGAGACAGAGACACCTGCCGCCAGAGGACCCCCCTTCGGTCGGCCCCAGGAGGCCCTGGGTCAGTCTCTCCTGCACCCCTGAGCGGCTGGCCTTCTCCCAGAGAGGCCTGGGGAGCCTGCAGTCCGGCTGGGGAACTCGGTCGGGAGAGCCTGTGGTGACGGGGGCAGCTCGTCACCCAGGCAGAGGAAGGGGCCACACAGGGGCCAGAGTGAAGGGGGGCGGTGGTGTCTGCACTGTGAAAGGGCCCTCCCCGGGCACGCCCCTGCCCAGCCAGAGGAGAGCCCCAGGACGCACTGTCAGCTCGGCTCTGCCCTTCAGCAGCTGACCTGGCGGCTGCCCAGTGGGTCCTAGACCCCCGCGCGGGCCAGGAGGGAACCGAGGAAGCTGCAGTTCACGGGGCCCGAGGGTGCTCGGCACGTGTTCCGACCCTGACACACTTACACACTCATGCACACCCACACACAGCACGCACACACAACTCGCATGTTCACCCGTGCAACTCACACAAAGATCAGCTTGGCCAAAGCTGGTCAGGGTCTGGCCTTGATCCCCTCCCAAGCCCACAAGGACAGAGACCAGGGCAAATGGGGGTGGGGAGGTGCGGCGGCGGGGGGTGGTCCTGCCCGGCCCGGGGTAGGTGGACTTCTAGGACCCTGAGGGCCTCAGGGTGGGGCTGACTGGCCGAGGGGAGCTCTGTGGACCCAAGGCCCCCAGGAGGACAGAGCCCTGAGCCCACTCTGCCCACAGGGCCCCACAGCAAGTCCCAAGTGGAGAGGCTGCAGGGACAGCAGCCCTGGAGAAGGATGCCCCGAACCCAGGCCCCCGCCGCCTCCTGCCAGGTAACAGGCCAGAGACAACAGGAAGCAGGCTCCAGGCAGAGAGCGGGCGGCAGCGACTCAACAGCAGAAGGGACAGGACCCCCATCCTCCCCCACCTGGGTCTTGGCTGGGGCTTCCCCATCCCCACGGGCTCGGGCCTCCCTGAGGGGTCTCTGCCTTATTGCTTTCTGAACAGCTCATGGGAGAAGAGTCTCCGGTGCCCGAGGCAAGGAGCCCCACCCCAGGGTCCCTGCCTGGGGAGGCACACCCCGGCAGTAGGATGGAGGATGGAACCCCCGGGGGCCCAGCTCCAGCCACGACACTGCTGATCCGAGAGGTGAGGGTGCTGCGTCTGGGGCAGTCCTGCCACGGCCTGGGGTGGAGAGGGTGGGGGGCGCCTCGGGACCACCCACCTGGCCTGCCCTCCCTGCAGGCTCTGGTTCGAGGGGGCCTGGACAGCTTGGCGGTGGATACTAACTTCGTCATGGCCACGGGCCAGGCACTGGCGGAGGCCTGCCAGATGGAACCGCGGGAAGTGGAGGTGGCAGCCGCAGAGCTTCTGCAGGGACGCGAGGCCCCGGAGGGAGTGCCTGGTGCCCAGGGGTGGTCGGGCCTCGGGTCCTCCCTGGGCAGCCTCGACCAGCATGAGGGCTCCCAGGAGACCCTGATTCCCCGCAGGCCATGAGGGCCCCGGCATCAGCGTGGGCCCGGGCTGGCGAGACTGAGGGTGGGGGAGCTGGAGTGGGAGGGTCAGCCCAACTCAGCAGCCTCGACGGACAGAGGGATGAGCTGGGGGCAGGCAGGGGGTCAGGAAACACGTCCAAGGGCAGCGTGCAGAAGGTGAAGTCGCTCTCCTCACCAGCAAGCTGCGTGAGTGGACAGAGCTTCTGTATCGTTCAGAGGCCTGGTCAGTGCCAGCAAGACATTAAAGTCTCCAGGCCTGCGATAGGGCGCTGCCTCTGCTTGTCTCCTTCCGGGGGCCCCTCTATACCTCCGCCCACCCTGCTCCCACGGAGGGGCCTCCGGATGGGCCTCCTGCAGGGGCGGAGGGGCCGCTGAAGATGGCGCGAAGCTTCTGCCCGGCCAGGCCCCTCACAGCTGCCCTTCCCCGCAGCCTGACCGGAATCCACTGCCTGCCCGCCCCCCAGAGCCTCAGGGGGGCTGCCCCCCCGGGGAGCAAGGCCCTGGCATCCACCTCGCTCTGCCTGGTGCTCCCCTGTCACGTGCTCCCTCCGCCGGCTTCCCGGTGACCTCCCCCAGGCCGCTCACCTCACACGTGAGGGCATCCTCAGGGTGCTAGGTCCTCCCTGCTTCCTGCAGGGTCAGCCCCCTCTCTGGACATCACCTTCCTCACTTAATGCCAAGCACCCCCGTCCCCCCCCGTGGCCCGGCCCTGCCCCCACGGCCCCGCCCCGCCCCGCCCCGTGGCCCGTAGCATCCCCGTGCTCGTCCCCACCCCACCATGGCCCGGCCCCGCCCCCCGGACCGGTCCCACCCCAGTGGCCTGGTCCATCTCGCCTAAACGCTGCTCCGCGTCCTGCTCCTCAGCTCTGAGGATGTCCTGCTTGAGCCAAAAGCCCGTCATGCCCAGAGCCGACCTCCTCACCCGTCCCTACAGCCTGCGACCTGGGGCCCCACTCTGCTCAGACCTCGAGTCTAAGGCGGACCCTCCCCCGCCCTGCCCCATGGGCCCCTGTCCCGCTGTTTCTCAGCCCATCCTCTCCCGCGGTGGCTCCCCCGACCCTCGGTCCTCGTTCCCGGCCTCACCTACAGCCACAGCCGCCCAAAGGCGTCGCAGCTTCCTGCCCGCCCCCAGCCTGACCCTGATCCATCTCAATGGAGAAACCTGCCATCTTAGCCCCTCGCTTAAATCCCCTGAAGCCCCCAAAGCCTCGGCATAGGGTGCACAACCCATGCCTGGGCTGACAGGCTGCCCTGGACCCAGCCCTGGCCCTCAGGCCTGTCTACCCACCCTCCAGCCGCTGCAGCCCAGCTGGGGACAGCTGCCCCGCCTTTTAGCCAACCCTGAGCCCAACAGACCCCTCGCCTGTCGTCAGCTTCGCTGTTACTTCCTGCAGAGAGCACCCTTCAAATGCTTCCAAAGGCTTGGGGGCTCCATGACACACGTCCCCACTGCAGCAGGTCACCACTGTGACATTATTTCACACCAGCTCGAGGCCTTCCCTGGTGGTTCAGCTGGTAAAAAATCTGCCTGCAATCCAGGAGACCTGGGTTCAGTCCCTGGGTTGAGAAGATCCCCTGAAGAAGGGAATGGCTACACACTCCAGTATTCTGGCCTGGAGAATCCCATGGAGCGAGGAGCCTGGTGGGCTGTAGTCCATGGGGTCACAAAGAGTCAGACACGGCTGAGCAACTAAAGCTTTTCCTTTCAGCCTGAGGCCACGTTGTACCAAGGCAGGAGCAGGTCCCCCAGGCTTATCCTGAACCCCAGAGCTGAGCACTCTTCTACACAAAGTGTTCAGCCACTGTCAAACAAACGCAGGGAAATGCTGACCAGTGTGCCCTCTGCCCTGGCTGGGGCCCACCCCTGGCCTGGGGTTACCCTCCCAGGGCTGCAGCCTTGCGCCCTGTCTGTCCAGGACCCGGGGAGGGGGCGGGGGCACGGGCCCTCCCGAGGTGAGATCTGCCTCCCCGGCTCCACTGTCTCGGAGAGGACTCACATGTCCCTGCCCCTCTGCCTCCTCCGGGGAAGAGAGAAGATAGTCCACCTGCAGCCTGGCTGAAAACTAACAGGAAAAAGTCTATAAAAGGAGGTTTCCATTCACAAGCAGAATTATTAATGACGTAATGCCCAGCGTACAGAATGCCAGCTCTATGGCAGGCCTTGCTCCAGGAGCCCCACATCCATTTCTTCTTGTTCTCAACACGAAGCGTCATCCTCTTACAAGTAGGACCAGGACAGGACAGGTAATGCGCCAGAGGCCCCACGTTGGTAGGAGGGCCCAGGCGGGACTCAACCTCACGCCATGGCTCCACGGCCCTCACGGGAGGTCTGGCCGGCCTCCCAGCCCAAGGGATGGGTGCACGCCAGCTCCGAAGAAGCCTAGCTCTCACCCTCTGGGAGAGCCCAGGCCATTTCCTCCGCCACATGCAGGACCTCCTGATGGTCGGCGTGTACACAGCCTTGCCTATCCCCAGCTCCCCTTCAAATGATCAGTGAGTGTCTCCATGGAGGGCTGTCAGGCCCCCAAATAAAGGACAAAGGGAACTCAGGGTGGAAGGCTGCAGGCGGGGGGCCACGGCGGGGGGCAGGCAGGCCCCTCTGGTCAGCAGAGCCTTCCAACCAGGTTCCCAGCCAGAGTGCTGTCTGCTGCACCCCAGCTTCTCCCAGCCCATCCCCTGCAGACTTGGGGCCCAGCTGTGCTGGGGGATCTGCAGAAGGGGCAAGGTGAAGGGGCGGGGGCAGTCACTGAGCCATGTTCGGGGCCCGGGAAGCCCCCTCTCTCATCTGGAAGCTGTGGAGCTCAGATGGAGCGTCTCTGAACCAGGAGGCTGGCCCAGCTCCCAAGTGCGGAGGCGCCCCGGCTCTGGTCCCGGTGCATCTCCAGGCCCAGCTCTGGCCGGGCCGAGTGGTCCTTGAAGCCGAGCTGCCCTGTGCAAGGTGACAGAGCACAGCCCTGGAGCCGGGCCGGTGAAGCCCCAAGGCCCTCCACCCGCCCCACAACCTGATGTCAGGCCCTCACACACCCTTTCAAGCTTCTTCCTCCTATAAATGGGGGAATGACTTCTGTTCCTAGGCTGTTGGGAGACATGAGGGTGACTGTGGAAGGGCCCGGCCCTCCAAGAAGCGGCTGCTTGGACTGGGTCAGAGCTGGTCACTGAGAGAGCCCAACCTAATGGGGCGGAGGCTGACCTGATGGGGCTCCGAGTCTCTTGTTGGGGAGCTGGGCAGCTCGGCCCCCAACCGCACATCTCAACATCAGGCTGGTCCTCTCACAGGCTCTGCAGCTCCGACCCTCAGCCAGCAGGTGTGGAGGCCAGGCACACAGGTCACTGGAAAAGCCACAGTCAACCCAGACCTTACCCTGGCCCCATTCCCTGGCATCTGACCCCAGTTCCACGTCACTCCTGCCTGGGGCCCGACAGCTATGATGGCAGGGGACACTCGCTCCCCCTCCCTGCAAGGGTCCTGCTGCCAGTTTACTGATGAGCCAGCTGAGGGTGGCGTTTGCCCGGCAGGGCTGGATTCGTCCTCCAGCTCCCTACCCCATCGCGTCTTCTTCCTATGCCATACAGCTGTCCCCCAGTGGAGCCTAAATCTGGTTTAGAAGCATTCTAAAAGAAGTTGGCCTAGATACATAGGGCAAAATAATAATCGTGGTGTCAAACAAGAATTGAAAACACTAGGATGTCAGAGAAACACGTGGAGCATCAGCTGCTGGGGTTTGGAGGGTTCAGAGGAGGGAGAGCCAAGCAGTGTTTGTTTAAAATGATCAGAAGAGGAGATTTCATCGTGGTCAGAAAGGAAGCCAAGATCGAGAGGAGGAACGTGCATCAGAGTCCATGCAAGGAGCCCGGTTCCAGGAGGAGGCCCGAGAGACAGGCGGGCCCAGCGGAGGGGCCCTTTAAAACGCCTCTGCCAGTTTATCGTTCTGTCATCACAGAATGATAGTAGTGACCTTATCAAACCCAGTTCATTAAGTGCCTGACGCAATGTCTCATTCAGCCTTGCGACACCATCCAGGAAGTGGGTTGTTATTAAACTCATTCCAGGAAAGGCCGAGTTAGCTTTCAGGCCAGGGGTCCAGCAGGGGCCCGGACACCACTCTGGAGCTGCTGACTTCCCGTTATCAGGAGGATGGCAGGACAGTCCCTAACCCAGCCCCATCACACCCCCTACTGATCTGGGCCACGCCCTGCCCAGAACCCACCCAGAATGGGTACCCCAATGCCCTCGGCACCTCTGTGCACCCAGCAACCTTCCTCCTCTGTCCCAGCCCGTCTCCTCTGGCGGGCCTTCTCTGATAACCCCGGGAAACTCTGTCCATTTGAGAGGGCCACTGGCCACCTGGTTCCATAAGAATGACATCATTGGCCACTGTAGTCACAAACCTTCAATACTCTCTGAAAGAGCTCAGGGCAGAGATCAGAAATGAGGCCCTCAGTGCTCCAGAAAAGCCTGCAGAGCAGACTTTCAGAGTTAGATAGTTTCAGATTTTATGAGCCTAATTTCTTGTATCTTCTCATACCTAGAAAAGCACTAAAATCATCATTGGAGACATCCGTCCCCCATGATTAGCAAACCCTTAGTGAGATGTTTGCTTTGGGGGGACATACCCCTTCTCCAAATCACATGAGGCTGGCCTGCTCTCACCTCTTCTGAGCAGCTCTGTGTTGCTGCCACAAGCCTGTCTCCCGGGCTGAAGTCTTCGGGAGGTCCTGAGCAGGACTGACCTCACGGCTCGCAGCTGATGACTCTTTCTCGTTGTTCAGCCGCTCCGTCGTGTCCGGCTCTTTTTGCCCCACGGACTGCAGCACGCAGGCCTTCCTGTCCATCACCAGCTCCCAGAGCTTGCTCAACCTCATGTCCATCGCGTCGGTGATGCCATCCAACCATCTCATCCTCTGTCGCTCCCTTCTTCTCCTGCCTTCAATCTTTCCCAGCATCAAGGTCTTTTCCAGTGAGTTGTCTTTTTGCATCAGGTGGCCAAAATAGTGGAGCTTCAACTTCAGCATCAGTCATTCCTACGAATATTCAGGATTGATTTCCTTTAGGATGGGCTGGTTTGATCTTTCTGCAGTCCAAGGGACTCTCAAGAGTCTTCTCCAACACCACAGTTTGAAAGCATCCGTTCTTCGATGCCAGCACCACGGTCAGAAATGGCAGAAGCCGGTACTTTGTCTCTGAGAAGACAGATCTGTCTGGGGTCTCCAGGCAGTTACCCAGCCCTTTGCAGAGGCCCTGTTTCACAGAGGACCGACAGAGTGCTGTGGGGAAGGCTGAATGAGCCGGGCCAGGGTCAGTGTTAGGGGAGCCACTGTCCAAGACCACCACCTTGACCAGGCACCATGGTAACCACCTGCATGAGTGATCTGACAACAGGAGGGCCTGGGAAGGAACTTGGAACCAACAAGCCCTCACCAACCAGAAGAATTTGGAAAAGGTCACCAGTCCATACATCCTACCACCTCCCAGAATCCTCCTGGCTGGAGTCCCTCTTGGCCGAGTGATGCCTGCCCCCAGGAAGGACCCTGAGTCAGAATGATCGGCCAGAGACAACCCAGAAACTAATCCCATCAGCATAAAACCCGAGCCTGCAAGCCACAGGCCAGAGCGGTTCTCCTGGGCTGCCTCACCCTCCTGCTCTCCGCCCGGGCGCCCCTTCCCAATAAAGCCTCTTGCTTTGTCAGCACATGCGTCTCCTCGGACGGTTCATTTCCGAGTGTTAGACAAGAGTCCGTTCTCAGGCCCTGGAAGGGGTCTCCCCACAACATTAGCGCAGGTGTGTCCTGACACCCCCTCCATGACCACTCCACGCCAGGTGACAGCCAGTGGTGCAGAAAGGCCCTGGGGTTTTCCTAATTGCTTCTCCAAGTGGTTCCTGAGGATGCCTGCCCCCTTCTACCTGCCAGCAGGGCTCCACGTAGCCTGGAGGCCAGAACCCCAAAGTGGCGTCTGTGGGTCTGCGTGAAGAGCTGGAGTCCCGAGAGACTGTGGGCCCGGGGCGTCTTTCCAGACCAGACACTGCTCTGCGCCTTCTAGGGACATCGGTACCGGTTGGGGGGCACTGCCCAGGGCGTCTTTCCTGACCAGATGCCACTCTGCGCCTTCTGGGGGCGTCGGTGCAGGCTGGGGGGCACTGCCCAGGGCATCTTTCCCGACCAGACGCCGCTCTGCGCCTTCTGGGGGCGTCGGTACAGGTTGGGGGGGCACTGCCCAGGTAACACACCAGCTCGTAGTCTCAGCGGCTCCTCACAATGAAAGTTCATTGCTTGCAGACACCCTAAACCACATGCAATTGTGTGTGGTGCCCGGGTGTGCAAAGCATCCACCTACAAGGGATACTTGTGCGTTCTGCTCGCATTTCATTGGTCAAAGGAAGTCACGGGGCCACAGCTCACACCAGAGTGAGGACACGCTGGCCTGCCCTGTGCCAGAGGCAGCGAGCCGGAAATACTTGCGGGAGACACTAATGACCAGACACTAGCCAAGTGACCTCTGAGCCCATTTCCTCTTCTGCAAAATGAGGACAATGAATGTTTGCCTCACAGACCGTGAGGAGTGAAAGAGAAAGCGCATTAACTTGGGCAGGTAAAATAAAGTGGAGACACTCTCCAGGTGGCACCTGGGGAGGCAGAACCTGGGGCATCCGTGCTCTGCAGGGGTCTGGCGTGCCCAGGGGCCCTCCCGCCCTGCAGACACCTACCTGACTCCTGGCCCCTCCACCGACAGAGGCTGGAGATCCTCCCCACCCCCAGCGACGAGGACCGCTTGGGCAGGCAAGCGCAGCACACCCCCTGCACCCAGCCTCACGCACACTCATCTCCCACTTCCTGTCCATCTTACGACAGATTGGTTCTCTGTCCAGTTAGAGGACGGGGGCTCATAGAAGAAGAGACAGGAAATGAAGGAAGTTCATTTCCATTCTGTGCGGAGCCTTGTGAAGGGTGCTCCGCCCAGGTCACCCCATTTCCAGCTCATGACAGTCCACGATGAGGGAGAGGACTGTCCCCATTCCGGGGTGGGGGGACGCATGATGGGCACAGCTCCCTAACTTGCCTGGGTCACTCGGCCCGAGTGGCCTAGCCGCATCTCTGTGACTCTGGCTTCCGGCTGTCTTCTGTTCCTTTGTGCAGACTCGACTCTTCTGCAAACCATGAGCTCGCACTGGCAGTCCAGTGTTCAGCCTGTGGGTCCCACCACACTGTGGGGGGCACTGCCCCCTCTGGGGTTTCGGGTGCCAGGTCAGCAGCTCGCTGCGTGACCCTGGACTCATCTCTTCACCTCCCTGGGCCTCAGTGTCCTCACCTGAAAAGGGCTCTTGCTGAACTAGATGACTGAAGGCTGAGGTTGCCCACACCTGCTCTAACACTGTCTTAGAAAGCACTGCAGAGAAGAAGGGATGAAGCTCCTGTGTTTGAGGTTATGTGGTGCATTAAACCCTCAACTCATCTACATCTGAAACCAAAAATAGTGTGTGTGTGTGTGTGTGTGTGTGTGTGTGTGATTTTATTTGTAATCCACAGCACTTCTCTCTCTTCCTTGCTATTTATAACAAATTCTGGTTTCCTCTATGACCGAATCTGTCTTTCTCTATAACAGGGGAAGTCAGGCTGGGCCCTCACTAAGCGGAGGTCCCCACATCTGCACACTAGTAGGCCATGTCTGGGGCTCACAGCTCCTGTGGGCAGGCAGGAGGCTCTGTCTCCAGGTGGGCTCAGGTGGTGCCCACCACCAGCAGGGTGGGCTAGGGCCTGTTCTCCCAGGAGCCCAGCTGGGCAGGACGGGGGGCCGGGGGGGGGTGCTGTGGCCGGAGGCCGGCCCCCCACCGCCAGAACTCCAGAGCAAGGCTCAGACACTTCCTCCCACAGCCAGGGCCTGGTGCTCGCCTGAGGAACAACCACAGAGCAGACTCAAGGGCAGGCCACCCCTGGGGAGCCTTCCAGGCCCTGTTGCAGTCAGGCTGCTCTGGGGAGCAGGGTCGGGCAGGAGAGATCTGGGCCAGATGGCTGCCCCCGTCGCTGCCGGAGTCTAGTACTATCTCCACAGTAGCGTGGGAGACTCCTGCCACGGACAGGCCCCCAGGGTTCCATCTGCCCAGACACCCACCACTCCGGTCAGAAGAGATAATGGAGCCCAAGATGCCCAGTGGGGGGTGGGGGTCTTGGCTTGGGGCCAGAACTGAGGCTCACACTGCAGTCCAGTGTGTGTATGTGTGCGCATGCATGTGCACGCGTGTGCCTCATGTGCCTGAGTGTGCACACACGTGTGTGCATGACTAGTGCACATGTATGTGCCTGTGCGCACACATGTGCATTGTGTGTGCGTGTGTGTGCACATACATGTGTGTGCGGGTGTGTGCACATGTGTGTGTGTGCATGTGTGTGGGTGTGTGCACATGCGTGTGTGCATGTGGGGGGTTGGGGGGGTGTGCACAGGCAGCTGAGGCAGACCAGCCCCCGAGGGTGGGAAGGAGGGAAGGGAGAAGAGCAGTGGGAGGATGGGGGGCGGCGGGGACACACCCAGGGAAGGAGCAGGGCTGAGCTGAGGCTTGGGGGCACTGAGGAGTGTCCATCCCAGGCTTCCCCCAACCCTCTAACCAGATCTGCCCAGGCTGTGGTTTAAGCTTCCTGACCACCCCTTGAATCCCCATCTGACCTTCTTGCCTCAGACTGGCAGCTCCAGGAGGCAAGATCTGGTCAGCAGGCTGTCCTGCGGCTCCCTGGTGGCCCAGGAGGGAGCCACTCTGAGGTCCTGACCTCTAGGAGGCCCTAGCATCAGCCTGGGCGCCTCCTGGCTCCTCCAGGCTCAGTACCGTGTGCCCTGGAGGGATGGGGGAAGGGAAAGCGCAAGGCTCTGGCGCCGTTTCCCAGCAGTGAAGCAGTGAAGCTATGAGTCAGAAGGTCACCTACTCTCGGAAGTCAGAGGGGACCTCCAGTAGGCAGGAAACCAGAGCCAGCCCCTGGAGAAGCCGACTCTGCTGGTCAGGAGAGCAGCCTTGTAAAATGCAACGCTGCTGTCTGGAGAGCACAAGTCTAGAGCCTAGCTGCCCAGACCCTTTCCCCGGGCATCTGTTTGGAGGTGGCCTGGTGAGTCTGGATGCACTTCACAGGCGGCACGAGTTCAGTCCTGCATCTGTTGCTTATATGCTGGGTGACACTCAGGGCCCCTTTAGCAAAATTGAAACGAATCAAGATCTTCCTGGTGGCTCAGATGGTAAAGAAACTGCCTGCAACGCAAGAGACTTGGGTTTGATTCCTGGGTCAGGAAGATCTCCTAAAGGAAGACATGGCACCCCTCCAGTATTCTTGACTGGGAAATCCCATGGACAAAGGAGCCTGGCAGGCCACAGTCCATGTGGTCACAGAGCTGGACATGACTGAGCAACTAACACTGCTCTGCTACTAAAGCCTAGCTCACAGGTGATGAGTATGACATGAGAACATGCGTGTAAAGTACCTTGTTCATGTAGATGGTCCATAAATGTCAGTGTCTTCCCCAGTTCTCATCTTGGTTGGAAGAGCATGTCCAGGGTCTGACTCCTCAGCACTCTGCTGGTCTCCTGCTCCAGGATGGGGGAAACACTGACCCCAGAGAGCTCTTCCTCTTGGTTCAAATGCTAGTGAGATGTGCTGGGTCCTGCCAAGCCCTCCCCCACCCCTGCCCCTCGTACCCAAGGACACCCGAGGTGGTGCTGCTGTTTTCCATCAGATTGGGTAGAGGGTGTTGATTTGCCCTTGAAATCTGCCCTTGAAATTATCTTTTGCTTTTTGGTCTGACCAAACCAAACTGGGATGTGGGCTATGGTGGAGCAGTTATTTTGGTTGGGTGGGGGAGGGGAAGGGAGGAGGATGGCACCAAATATGCACCCTCCACCCCTAGCCCGCGCCCTTTTCTAAATCTCTGACGTGGTTTCATCATCTGAGGGTGATGCAAGAGGCTGGGAGTCAGACTCCCCTTCTTCCCCTCCCCCAGCATGCGCCTTCCACATCTGGAGCTGCAGCTGGGTCCTCCTCTTGGGCTTGGTCCAGCGGAGGGAGCTGGTTGAAGTGAGGGGAGGGCAGGCAGCTGGTGAGGGGCCCCGTGAATAGCCCCAGTGTTGGGAGCTGGCGGGCAGGGAGAAGGGGCTGGTCTCCGAGGTGGGAGAGGGACTGGAAAGGCAAATGTGATTTCTTCTCCACCACCACCCAGTGCTTCAAGGCCTCAGGGCTCCCTTGTCTTTCGTACCCAAATGAAGGCAGCTGCCCTCCCCGCCTCCTCCCCCTCCCACCTCCTCCCATCTCCCCCCAGCCTCTACCCAGGTGCCTGGAGCTCAGGGCTCCCTTTGTTCCCTGTCTTCCTGGGGCAGCTCAGGCCTCCCACGCCGACCCTCTGCCCCCACAGCCGCAATTGGCAGAGAGTGAGCAGGGATAAGGGGGTGGGGGGGCTGGGGGTGGGAGTCATCTGTAGGTCATAAAGGTCACTGGAGCCCTCGCGGTCTCCAAGAACGGAGGAGCCGTCTAGGCTAGGAGCCTGACCGGGAACCAACCCAAAGATGAACTTAAAAACGCTGCAGGGTTGTAGGGACAGGGGATTTTAGTTAGACACTAGCGAGAATCCCCCCTAAGTAAAGGTTGGCAATTCACCGGAATAAATGCAGAAGAGAGGCTTTCCCGGAGCTTTCGGAACACAAACCATCAGGCGATGTGGGACGCTCTACAGGGAAGCGCCGGGCCGGGACACCCGGGTGCTTACCCTCGCTTAGCCACTAACTCCTGCGTGACCTTAGTAGTTCCCCTCCCTGCGCCCGGCTTCCGTATTTATGGGCGGGGGGGAGGGGGGAGGTCACACAGAGGCTGAGGGTCTGCGGCTCCGGGGTCGAGGCACCAGTGTGATCAGCTCTTGGGGGTGTGTCCCTCCGGAGACCCCAGGCAACCTCTCCAGGCCCCCAGCGAGCTTGTGGACCCGGATCATCGAGGGGTCTCTTTAAAGGCTTCCGCGGCGCCCCTGCTGCCGGGTCGGGCCTTCGATTGGCGCAACGGCCTCGGGGGCGGAGATCAGGGCGGGGCCTGGGCGTCAGGGGCGGGGCCTCCGCCGGGCCGGCCCCCGCCCCCTTTGTTCGCTCGGCTGCAGGAGGCTCGGCGCGGCCCGAGGTGCGCGCGCGGGAGCCGCGCGGTGGGGAGACCGTCGCTCCCCGGCTGTCCTCTGGCCCAGCGTCGCCGCCCGATGGCGCGAGGGGGCGCGCGGGCCCGGCCCCGGGGGCCCTCAGCCGGCCGCGGGTGAGCCCTCCGCGGGCCGCCCGCGAGCATGTCACCTCCAGGAGCCGCAGCCCCCTCCCGCAGCGCCCTCGCCCCCGCCCTCTGCAGCCGCGGCCGCCGCCGTCGCCCCGGGCAACGGCCCCCAGGCCCCCGCCCCTGATCGACGCGGGCCCCGGCACTGCAGCGCCATGGCCAGCCAGGGGGACTGCTGCGTCAAGGTGGCCGTCAGGTAGGACGGGTGGCCGGGGCGCGTGCGCGGAGGGCTCGGCTTTGTCTCGCGTGGGCACGGGGCGGGGGTTCGGGGGTCCAGGGGCCGCCGCTCCACCGGCAGTCCGCCCCCGCGGAAGGCCAGCCGGCCGCGCTGGAGGGCGCCGCGCGCTGGCCAGGCCCCCAGGGGAGCGGCGTCCCCGCGGGCGGCAGGAGGGGCTTTGTTTGGGTGGTGATTCCGGGCCCCTCTTGGGAGCCCTTAATGATCAGAAAATCGAATAAACAAGGAAATCCGGTATTTCACACCCAGCCCGGGCCCGGGCGGGAGCGTCTGTGTGTTTCCTCTTTGCCCCCCCACGGGCTGCAGTCTCACGCGGGGACACTGGGTGGGGGACATTTCCCCGCATCCACCCAGCCCGCTGATCCTGCGCTCTCCGCACTGACGGGCAGGCAGCACGCCTCCCCGGCCGGCTCCGCAGACAAAGATCGTGGAAGGACGAGTGGAAAGGCTGGGATGGGGCCTTGGCCGGTAGGGAAGCGGAGGCTCTGGAGAGATCCCTGTCGGCCCTGCCCCTAGAGCGGCTGGGCTGGGGACGGAGGAGGGGTGTCAGGGGTTCTCCTCGCAGAGGGCAGGCCGCAGTGACCCTGATGCCCCATCCTCAGGCCCTCAGACAGAATTGAGCAGCAGGGAGGGCCCCGTGGACCTGCCTGGGACTTTGAGGGACATCCTGGCGGAAGCGAGGTGGGCAGAGGACAGGGTACAGCCGAGGTGTGTTCTTTGTGTTGGGTGGGGGCGCTCCGCTCCACGTCACCCTCCCTGTTCTTGATTTGGGGTTAGTTCTTTGAGACAGTCCGTTTTTGAGAGAGTGCCAGCCTGAGACCCATCACCAACACAGGGATGGTGGAGAGCATCACCCAGCCCTGCGTGACGAGGGTGCGAGTCTCAGTCTGGGTCTAGGGTGGGTCTGAGAAAGGTCTCTGACTTCCCTGGGTTGTAGGTGACCCAGATTCCAGAATGCCAGGGCAGTCACTCCGAGATGACTGTACCCACCCCCCAGCCCCAGCCACCTGGCTATCCCTCTGCAGTGGAGAGGGCCAGGGGACCACTGATCACAGGCTGGAGTGGAGGGAGGGAGACCAGCGTGCCCTCCCCCTGGACCGCCGGCTGCTCTCGGAGCATCACTGGCACAGACTCGCCGACCCTGGACAGCCCGAGACAAAGAGGAGCCCCAAAGATGCCTGGTGGGCTGGCAGGGCGGGGCTCTTGGCAGCAGGATCCTATGGGGGGTGAGGAGGAGGGCCAGGGGCATGGTGGGGGGTGGGGAGTGGCAATGTCAGTAAGACAGCTGCAGCGGAGTGGGAGTCTGGGCGCGTCGTGAAAGGAAACTGGACCAGGGCTGGGAAGGAGGCAGCTTTCCTTTGGACTCCGTCTCACACAAAAGAGCCAAACTGAGCCCCCGGCCCCACCTCGTCAGGGCCCCCAGGCTAGACCAGGGTTGCAGAGGTGTGGCCAAGCCCGTGGCCTTGGCACCCTTGCAGCCGGGGAAGAGCTGGTGTTTTCTCCCCACCGCTGCCAGTGGCAGGAGCTTCCCGGGACCCTTCCCACCCGGAGCATCTTCCAGCCCATGCTCCCCTCCCGTGACCGGCATCATCTCTGCCTCCACTGAGACTGCCTGCTGGGATCTGGGTGTCCCCACTCCTTGCCTCTGCCACTGGCCTGGAGGGAGGGTGGGGTTGGAACACCTCCAGAGCCAGACCTTCAGGGTCCCCTAGACGGGGAGGGGTCCCCTGGATGGGGAGAAGCCCCCTGGACCAGGAGGGCCCGTCCACTTCTCCTCTCCCACCCCAGCCCCAGCGCACACGCCAGACCTCAGTGGGCAGCTGGCCGCGGAGGGCAGACAATGCCTGGACAGAGCCCAGCTTATAATCAGAGAGCTGAGGACGGGACTGGACTGGGACTGAGGCTGGAGGGGGAGCAGGTGGCACCACTGGGGGGCTGCAGGGAGAGTTCTCCGTTCTTTGGGGTCTCCTTCACCCCCCCCCCCAAGCCCACCCTCGGAAATCTCTGGTCCCACTTGATGGACTGGGTGGCAGGCTGGAGCAGTGTAGACCATTGCTGGAATGAGCCAAGGATCTGGAACTGCCAGGGGCCTAGCCTGGTTGCCCTTTCTTATATCTAACTGTGTCCCCGTGAGAATGACTTATGGCAAGTCCAGGGTCCAACTCTTGAGACAGGGAGGCCAGGAATGGGACAGATGTGGTCTGACACATGTGCGTGCATGTGTGTCTGTGTGTGTAAGGGCCCAGGGGCCACTAGATTAGGTAAGAAGTGCCAGGCCTGGGGCTCTTGGCACGGTAATCTCCGGATAAGGATCAAAGCTGGCTTGTCTGCAGAGCTGAGGGGAAGGCCATGGAAGGGTCAGACCACAAGGGGGCAGCTTTCAGGACCTGCAGCTGTGGGTGAAGGGAGAAGGTCTAGATGTGAGCGGAACCCCAACCCCTGCCCCCAGCCTGGGCCACCCTGGGAGCTGGCCCTCTGCCCCTGCGCTCTGCTCCAAGACTCCTGGGCCAGCCCCTCCAGTCTGCCCTGTGATCCATTTATCCTTTAATCCTCTTGTCCGATAAGGGCTCTCTCAGCTCTGAGGCTGGTTAAGGCCAGTCCCTACTTGGGAGGGGGGTGATGGGGAGCACAGACCTGCTCCAGGTTGCAGAAATGCAGGCCTAACTAGTGGGGGGAGAAGGGGAAGGGGCGGCTATTAAGAAATGCTAGTTGGCAAAGTTGAGATTGGGGAAGGAAGCCGAGTCACGGGGTGCGTTTATTTAAGACCCTTTTAAGCCCCCAGGTCTGAGCCCCCAGCACGAGGGGAGGCCTGACCATCCCATCCCCTTCTCCTTGCCTGCTTTCCTTAAGCTTCGGTCCTTAGTCTGCTGGGGCGGGGCCGGGGGCTTCATCGGTTCCCTGGGCATCCATCTCTGGACACTGCAGGGTCAGACCTGAGCTGGAAAGGGGCTGGGGAGCAGCAGCCAGGCGCCCAGGGACAGTCAGAGGGCAGCCTTGCCCTGTCCTCGGGTCCTCTAGCTGCAGTTACTCCCCTGGCTCCAGGCTCCGCTGAAGTCTTAGTCAGTGTCTGTCTAAAATTTTGAATCAAGAGAAATTGGTGATTTGGGACAGAGATAAGACAGAAAAAACTTAGTGGGGGTGGGGAGGCTGTGTCTTCAGCGTCTCCCCCCCGCCTCCCTCCCCCGGCAGAGTCCGAGGCCGGCCAGGACCAACTAGTGCCCGCTTGGCGCCTGCTGTCCGATTCCCAGACCTGGGAGAGGGCCCAGGCAAGGGCCTCCCGGGGGTGGTGGAGACCCAAGAGTCTTGGTGGCGGTCTCGTGCTGCAGAAATAGGGCTTATGTCATCACCAGGAAGTGCAGTGTAGTAACCGCAGGCCCCGGAAGCGTGCCCCCCACCCTCTGCCCTAGCCAGCTCGCCTGATTGGCTGTCAGCTTTTGAAGACCGCGCTGGGGTTGGGGGGGCAGGGGCTGAGGAAGTGACAGAAGTGACATGTGCCCGGCACCCTCCTCCCCACAGCTCTGGGGACAGAGGGCCGGGCTGGGCCCCCGCTGCTGTTTCTCCTCCTGGGCCTCAGTTTTCCCTCCCTGTACAATGGGATCAGCGGTCTGTTCTGGCGTGTCCTTTTGTGAGGAGCAGTGGTCTGGGTGCAGCAGAAGGTGGACAGTCCTTAAAGGCTGACTCTGGAGGAGCTGAGCGTGAAGAAAATGTGAACACAAATAAGCACTTGCTGAAAGCGTACCT